CTCGACAACCCTTCCTCGGATCAACAACCAATTGGACAAATCTACCCGATAGATGACACTGAAAGAGTGTGAGTGAAAAAGAGTGACGTGGAAGTTGAACGCAGTTGAGGGGCATTTGAAAAAAAAAAAAAAACGGTGATGCATTTTTTCATGTTCTAGCTGAAGAATCATTTTTATTTTCTGACTAATACGTGATCGCACGGGATCGTCGAGTAGGAATTTGATCACACACGGAAGGAGGCATGAATTGAGGATGAAGAGAACCAAGGGAAAAACTTCTTAAAACTTGAAAACTCGCTTTTGAGATTCCGATTAAAAAAACGCCTTGGACTCCCAGCCCACAAAATGAACCATGACTTATTTCAGACCACTGTTTGTTTAAGGAAAGGGAGGTGAGCCACCATTTAAAGTGAGAAAGTGAGAAAGGAGAGGGAGCGAGAAGAGAGAGAAAAAAAGGAGAGAGATTAACAGAGAGAGAGAAGCAGGAGAACTCAAACGTTTTGCATTGATTCGACAACATGGTGAGGAGGGAGAGCAGTAGAGATCATGTTATCTGATGTATATCAATTATTCATGATTACTTCACTCTTAAAAGAAGAAAACCATGTGCTTGCATTTAGGTTTCACGCAAACTCTAAAAATCGTCATCCAAGTCTTATATTAAAATTGGTTTTTTTCTTTTTTCTTCGAGCTTGTCTACACCTTTATGGAGCATGAACTTTTTTTCCCCCGAGCCTAGTAGACGGACATTCACTTTATAGAAAAAATAACTTTCTTCCTGAGATTGGTAGATTGATATTGTGTAATAAAACAAAACGAGAATGATAGAATAAAATAAAACATTTGATTTTGATCCTCTGCACAGTACTTACTGTTGAGGGTGGTGACGCATACTACTTACTGCTTAGGGTGGATCGCAACGTTCCCCTTAGGGTATATATTAGGTCGATTGCTACCAAACGAAGGCCTCAAAGTCAATTGTTATTGCTTGTGTCTTTATCTTTGCAACTGTAACACATTTGGATACATTTGGTTTGGTATTGGCGTATGTTCATTGCAGGTAGCAGGCGTAGATGAACAACTTTCCCGTAAGTGATAAACATGGGGTGATTTCAGAGTTGTTTCTACATGCTTGTAAATTCCTTCACCCAATCGACAGTGACATTGTTGTCGAGGAAGGTTCCTTCTCGGGATTTCTGTCCACCGGCAATCGTAGAGGCTAGATGGCCGACGTTGGTGGTAAGAGTTATACATATTGTTCCTTTCCGCTATTGACTTATTCTGGTTTTAGATGTGCAGGTGTAGAGAGGCGCGTGAGCGACAACTGGCAGTCTGAGCCCCACTCGAGGTTTTCCGATCAGGTCGCTCGATTAT